AGAAACTCTCCTTCTTTAACTACAACAGAAGCTTAAGCAATTATCTTAAAATTCTCTTTTGGATGTCAAAGACTAGATATAATTAATCCTACTTTTGGCAAAATATAGAACCCTTGAGTCAGTTTGAGGCTGAACAAAACTGACAGTTAAAGAGTGTAGTATTTTTAACATATCGATGTCAGAAATATTAATTCAGAGCTAGCTAAGAACTGAAAAAGAAAAGACAATATTCCACATTCTTGGGGTTAAATGAGGAATTCCCTTAAATTCCTGTCAGGATTAGACCTTCTATATAGCTGCTTGAAACTCTTCAAGCTGTCCTACAGTACATCATCCTACGGTAATACAGCTTCTGTCCACCCATGGATTAACTTTTGGTTGAAGGCAAAACCTCAGTAGATATAATTGTCATCTCTTCTTATCTTCAGCCTATTTGTCCAGCTTGAAACCTGACAGTAAATAAGAGCTCTGTCTTCATTTTATAAATCATTGCAGCCCTCCTGCTGGAAGACAAGCAATGGAATGTCTTTTTGTACGCCTGAATGTTGAAGCATGTGGGAAAAGGTGTGAATCATTTGCATCCTGAAAGCTCAGATGTGCAGTTACTCACACAGTGCTTTTCTAATGGTTAACAGCATGTGTTGTATCATTTCAGGAACTTGCCATATTGTTTATTTTGGATGTGAGGTTCACTCACATTGTGTTAAAATCACGTAAGTTTATTCAAGGTCATGAATTGTTTAGCTACTTTCACTTCCAATTTAATTAACTTGAACAAAAAGAAACACACCCAAAATTATGAACAATTTCCAAGAAAACATTAATCAAATTTTTATGATGAAAAAAGGTTTTGAAGAGGGAAAATAAAATACTCCAAAGCTGGAAAACTGGAGGAGGAGGAAACAAGCAATAAAATAAAATGCCCATTTATATCAAATCATGATCCAGTTGTACTAATGGATATTTTCCTATTAATAACAATGGGGAATATAGACATGTGTAGAAATTTAAGAAAAGGTAGACTTCAGCTCCGCTATCTTAAGCCATCTAAATGTTAAACTCTTGGCCAAAGACAGCAGGTAGGCTCCCTGTAGAGTTGATGGAGAAAGAAGGTATAGAAGATCTGTAGCTGTTTCAAGAAAAGTACACTAGATCTGCTTATGGGCATATTTTCTTCTTTTCATTGACTGCAAGACAAGCCTTGACAAATGGCTTAGATTAGACAGTGAGGTTTTATGTGGGAAAGACGAATCTCACCACAGATTGAGTGACTTACTGAGGAATCGTCCACAGTACTGACTTTCAGGGTCAGGGCTGTTCAGAACTGTAACGGAAACAATGATTGTAATCCCTATGTCTGATATGCACTGTACTGGTAATAGATTTTATCCAAGGCTGAATCTGATTTATTTGCGGCTGTCTTTCAGATTTTATGCCCCTTTTCCAGTCTTCAAAGGATCATATTTCTATTCCATCAGGTTTCACATAAGAATTCTGCTTTTGTCAAATAATTTTATTATGTAAGGTAAAAATTAACATAGATTAGACATTATAGCAATCAAGTAGTGCACGTTTTACAGCTAATTGTTTCTTAAAGGGTAAAGAATAAGTTAGCCATTCAATGGAATGAGGATTTTTAAAAGTTAAATTGTTATTTTGGGGGAATAAGATAAAAATTGTTATCTGAGACAATAAAAAACAAAGCCAGGGAAATTTCACTAGACTGATTAGTACAAACTTAACTTAGAAAACTAGATTTTATATTTCTAGCACTATGAAAGGCTTGAACTAGCCAGTAGATCTGAGGAGCATGTGACACAAATATGATTATTCTATGATTAGTTTAAGAAAACAAATTCCAGAAAACTTGAAGACAGTCTCTGCACTGACATCTACACATTATTTGAAAAAGCACCTATTCTTTCACGTAAAACTCCTCAGCACTTTTTATTTAAAACAAAAAGACTAAGCCTTGACCCTCCATTTGTTTAAGATAACTAAAATCCTTGTAAGTATTAGACATGGGATAAAGAACTGTGGTTTCAGAGATATCATACAATGCATTGTCAGGAAAAGGCGTGGATAGCTTGCATACGAAATTTCCTGAAAACTATGTTTACAAGGAATTTGCTTTGTTGTAAAGCTTCTAAATCCATCCCACTTCTTATTACTTCTGAATTTCTGTTCACTTGGGAATATACATCTTCATACATTTTTGCTTCCCCATTAACATAGTATAGTACATAGTTTTCACTCAAAAGTATCTGTTCTCGATACTAGAACTTAAGTTGATGTGAAAATTTGCCTTGTTGTTCATCGATGTGAAAATAACATCTATTAATTGTTATACCAGCTGTTTTTATACTGACCTCTGTGACAGGAAATAGACAACAAGTGACCCAATAATGTTGGTGATAAAAAATATAAATAACATCCTTGCTTTCTTGCTATTGTGTTAGATTCTCTACAGTCCTGAATGGTCTGTGTCACAGCACAACTGGTACAGTCCCACTGCAGAAAGATATAGGAGCAAAGCTGTTTGTTTATGTGCAAGTTACTGCAGAAACAAGCTGTTATGCTGGATCTGAAAATGAACTTTACAAATCTACTTATCAGCTCATTTTATTAACAATTGATAAGTAAATAGTAAGTAAACAGTTTAAAAATGCAGTGCAACTCTTCACATTATGTGCCTATTTATTTTACTCAGTAACTAAAAATACATATTACAGTTAAAGCTCTAATGTGAGATGCTGTACTCCAACAGTACAGCAAATTCAAATTCAAATTGCTAATTATTAGGAAATTAAAAACAAACCATAATTTATTTTGAACAGTAATCCTGCTATTTTAATTCAAGATTCTCTCTTGTATTTTATGACTTTTTAGCCCTCTGCTTCACAGTGAGAAAATTCAATAGAGGAAAAAAAAAAGGAAAATATTATGTATCATGTAATGGCTGTTATGTCAAAACAGTTTCTTTAAAATGCTATTCGATAGACTTAAGCATACAAAATAGCTAATTTTTGTTCAATGTTATATGTACAAAAACCCGGAAGTCAAGATCTCTTAACAATTTTAAATATATTCTTATTTTCCAAAACAGGGGCTGGAAAGTCAGAATATCTTTTTTTCATTAGCCATGTAAACTGTTTGGTAACTTTAAACAGATACATTTGCCCAACTGGTTCCCAGATATTGCCACAGAATTCCAATAAACAGTCCAAAAGTTTCCGTCTTTTATTGTTTCTAATAGAGAGAATTCTTTCACTTTCAAATCTAACTGAAAGTTGATTTAAGATAAAAAAGGTTTAGTATTTTTGCATCAAACTTTTAAATGTAAATGAAGTGAATTATTTGTAATCTTAAAAACAAAATGTGCTGTGAATAATAAAACTAATGGACACTGGGTTTTTTTTCCTTTGAATTTGTCTCATAAACCTCTTCCTCTACTGCAACATTCTCAACTTCTCCTTCTTTCCCTTTGCCCACATCTAACACACATCTTTCCCCAGTCACACACAAACAAGAGACAACGGTGCTGGTGCTAGACTGAACTTAGGAGCACAATAATTACCTATCCAGTAGAAGTTGTATTGCTTGATTAGATGTGTACAGCCAAACAGAGGCTCTGACATCACCTTTCAGGGAAACCAGTGGATGAGATGAGGCTCTAGCTTGCTCTCAGTCCTCTAAGTAATGACCAATATTTCCCAGACTTTTGAGACCATACTTATCTCTGAGTCCTCTCTCTGCTTCTCCCTCAAATGGAATCAGCTGAAATTCACTGCTAGGTTCAAAGATTACTGGGGAAAATGACAGATATGCAATCAAACTGATAAACTGACAGCATAATTGCACAATCCCTGACTCAAGAAGGGAGGATAAAAATAAAGCCAGAAAATCAAAAGCTAAAAAAGGAATAATTTTGTCACTGTTGGAAAACACTATTTTCTTGACCAAATGAGGCACTACAGTTACTCAGAATTGTTTTGGGTTTTTTTTTTTTTTTTTTTCACATTTCACCAGGGCCCTTGTAAGGACAAAAAGAATGAAAAGAGAAAAAAATCTCCTTTAAGGAATATGACAGACTAGGCACTATGACTTTGAATTCTATATATGCCACTTCCAGTCTAACAACATGGACCAAAACAAATATTTCCGAGAAACTGAAAAGAAAATCTATCTGATGGATTTCCAGAGCCTTATTCATATTGTGACACCTTTTGCCCTGCTTCATTATTCATCCTTTTTTTTCTCTACGATAGGGCAGCTCACTGCAAAACGTAATGTGTGGCCCAATATTTGTGTAATGTATTTTAGACAATGAACATTGATAGGTATCAGCCATCACAAAGATATGTGAAAACAGTATTTGTTGCAGGCTACCTTAAAGTAACTGTATTTTTTTCCCCTCCTAATTATAGTACTGAATCTTCCTTCGTCATCAACATATGTACAAAAGATTGGCAACTACTATAGATGCACATCGAGCACATTTTAACTCTGACTCATTTCTCTTCCCGAAAACTTCCACTGGAATTCTTTGAATAAATAACGCCAGAAGTGGTTTCGCTCTTAAATCTTCTCATAATCCTTTGAGGAACAAAATCTCCACATATCTATTACGTGGGCTGTAATATAACAGAAAGTTTCTCTCCCAAAAAATGAGCATATAAAAAAAACTTCTTGGAGCTACATCAATTGCATAGGTGGAAAGTTAGTAGCAGAAAAAACGTCTTTCCAATCTTAGTTACCTTCTATACAGTACGCAAGTCCTTTTTAGAATACACGTTGATATTTTGTCCCTAATGAACTCATTAGGAGTTTTGTAATAGAGTTTTCTAAACTAAGGATTTCATTCCCAGGCTAGATTCAGCTCCTTAGTTTACATGTCTACAGTGCAGACTTACACATCTTGGCTATCACCAGAGTGCCTTTCAGGCAATGAAGGAAAAAAGGGTGCTTCGGGTCATGAGTCATCTAATCTGTTTTAGACTTCCTACATCTTTCACACATTTGGAAAGCCTGTTTCTCTTCACTGATTATAAGGAAAACCTAAAATGACTAGTTCAGGTAAAAATATTTCCATTCAGTCATAAAAACCTTACATGATCTAGTTCAGCTAGAGGCAAGGACAGCCAATACATAGTAGGCAGTTCTTTACGGACTACAGGTGGCATCTATCACTTACAGTGTATACTTCTTCAAAGCTGTATTTCCCTTTTTTAGGTAAAATGGCCACAGTTTTTCTCTTATAGCATCATTTTAACTGTCATTCCTAAGTAAAACTCGTCATGCAAAATAACTAATAAAGAAAAAAAAACATAGCTTGTAAACGGAACTCTAGTTTACAGGGACTAAGAAAGATCCTTTCTGTTAGAGTCTGTGGCTATGGAAATGTTTGGACTCTGTTTTTAAGAACTTGTTCTGAGATGCATTAACAGTAAAAAATGTCCAGAAGTATTCGCTATCTTTTATATACACGTTTGCTAACCTAGGTCATCAAATCCTTTAATAGGATTCTTTTATATGTGGAACTCTGACAAACATTCATTAACATTAAGTTAATTTTTACAGTTCTGGGGTTTTCTGTTTTTTAATTTTCTTTTCTTTTTACTAGTATGCTAGAGTACTGTTTAGACCAGGCAGTGGAGAGAAAACCATTTGTTAATAGGAAACTAGGTTGAGTTTAAAATAAACATAAGGCTGATGATGTTACTATTTATAGCTTAAATCTTTATCTCCTGCCATTTAAGATTATACGACCTTGTCCTTTCCTTCACAATGTTCTTTATGCTTTGAAGATATTACAAAACTTGTCTGTTAAGCCCCTCTCTCTTTCCTTCTTGAAATCCCCGAGATCTACTCCAATCCAATCAACTTACACCTGTAGTCCATAATAGAATGTGTGCTTTCACTACATCTGTAAATTTTGATTCTGCATCACATGTCCTAAAACCAGTCAAAACACAGTCATGATTGAACTCAATTTTTAATACCATGAAACATGCCTAGCTAGCTTATGGACTGATGGGAATATTTTCATGCGAAAAGCTGCATCTTAACAGGAACAAGTCTTGCCCTATTATACTTCTAAGCACATATTTACATTCATAAACTGGCTGATGCTTATCTTCCAAAGTCTAGGAAGAAGTTGAAAAATAGTCAAGCTTGCCCAATACCTGGTTAGACAAATGTTTTTGGCAAAGTTCAGAACAAGAATTTTAACAGAGAGATATCAGAGCTCCACAGCATAGTATCTTTTCAATTCTAATTCTGTTCTTTTTTTAGTTTCCTAATTTCTCCTCCAGTCCTACTGGCTCAAAGGAAGTTGACAATTCTCAGCTCTGGTGGAAAAGGCAATAACTAAACAGTCAGACAGAACTGAAATAAAGGAAATAAAATGTATCTATTAAACTGTGATGTAATTGTGTGTAATCTAATATTATACAAAAATGTGTTTCATATTTTTTTCTAACCAAAACAGTAAATTAAACCAGAACTCTGTGTTCTATGACAGGTCAAACTAAACAGCTATAATAATTCCCTTAGCATTAAAATCTGTTCAACCTGAAATAGATTTTTGGCCATCTCACTGAAAATACAATTCTTCCCCTGTGACAGATTTTCTTACGCATTTCACAGGCCTAAGGATTTGACAAAAGTCAATAAAATATGTTTTGAAACATCCAAATAATTACTTATTTAACATAACATAAAAGCATCTCAGGAGGGTAAAGACAGCACGATATTAAAAAAAAATCAAATTGATTGAATGACCTGGATTACTCTAATATTATATTCTCTATTGGATTTTGAATGCTTAAATAAAGCACAAAATAAAGCATTCCTCTGAATGGATAAGCTTTTTTCTCCATGAAAATAGTCCCTAAAAACCAAACAGTATTAACAATATATACACAATAAATGCAGCATAAAGGTAATGCCATGTATCAAGAAGGGTTACACCAAATTATAAGCCCGTTTTACCATATGTTATCATTACAATACTTATGTCATTATATTACTTATATCATTATACCACTTATTCTAATTTTATTCTAATAAATGAATGAATTCACTATCAACCTGATCTATAAACCAATGCCTTACTAATTTGCCAGTCAAGCTTTGTATGCAGATAAATTACAGAAAAGTCAAAAAAAAAACCAAAAAAAAACCTAAAAAAAACTAAAAAAAAAAACTAAAAAAAACTAAAAAAAAAACTAAAAAAAAAATCACTAAGTTCAGAATGGTCTTGACATTAATTCATAAATTTATCTGTTCAGGTACAAATGCATACCAATACCTTGCACAAAATTTCAAATGAGCAAATCAGATTTCATTAATTGGAAGGTTCTTAATTTGCTCAATCATTTTAGAAAATCTTACTATGGCACCTATACCTAGATGCCTAAATTTCTTTGATGCAGTTCATATGGCTAATAATGGTTAAAAGAAATTGATCTCTAATTAAAATTTCTTCCTCTTCAGTTTGAGAGGATTTCATTTTTTCAGCTCAGTGACTTTTCAAGGCCCTCTCTTCTCTATAGCTATGGTGTTTCCTATCTGAAACACACAAAATGCTGATTCAGCATCCTAATCACTACAGTGAATCTCATTGCCATAGCTACACCTAAGATAGCTGTCTTACCTTAAATTAAGCATTGTGAGCTACAAGCCGCAGCGCTGTGGTGATCCTTGTGGTCTAAATTCTCCTCTTGCTGCACCATTTTCTTTATCCTGCCACGCAGGATAGTCTGCGTGCTGCTCTGAGTAGTAGCTGGCTTCATGGCTCAACCATATAGCTAGTTTAAATAAAGCTATAAAACTAGCTATGAAATAGCGCAAGTGTGACTATACAAGTTACAGGAATGACTGCCAGTGTAATTTCAGCAGCTGAATTGGAAAAGGTGATTTTTATCCTGTGTAACTTGTTTTCATTCAAATTCAGAACACCACCAAGTTCTTAACCTCCTCCGTGAAGTGAGTGAAATCCTTCATGTAGACCAGCTCATCTCACCATAGCGCCACAGGCCTCACTTTCCAGACTAGTACAGTCTACCTAGCAGGCTACTTTGGATCTATACACACCAATTTCCATGGCATTCAAGAAATGATAAGCCTGGAAGCTGGGATTCACGCTTTCAGCTCCCTGTCAGACCAATAATCCAGGAGCTCAGGAACCATGTCTGATGAGGTGCTCTGAATCTACAAAGCATGACTGCTACGGCTTCCTGATGGCTAGCCCCGTAACAGCCTATCAAGTGGCAGACGTCAGGTAGGCAAGCTGGTAAGAAGCCAGCTTTGGACCATCCCTAGAAAAATATCTCGTCTCCACAGAACACTTCAACATCTCAGCAAAGACCTACAAAAATATTTTTCTTCTGACTTTTTCAATGAGCTTTGTAATAGCCACAATTATTTAGCTGAGAACTGAGACAATAGCTTCCTAGAAAAAATAAAGTTCTGACATCTGTGACATATGTGTTCCTCTCTGTCTGGGTAAAATACTTTCAGAAAGGCCATGAGCCTCTAAGCAGGAGAGGAAATGGGAACAAGAACAAACATGATCAAGGGTATAACCATTCACGTTACTATAGTAAGAGCACTCAATGAGCACTCATGAAAACAAACAAATGCCGTTCTTCTAGCAGTCACAGTTAAACTATGTCCTGGAGACACAAGACCTTACACTAGAGCCTGGAAAGCTTCTAAAAAAGTTGAAGAACCCA